CTACCTTCAGAAGACAGGATAGTCTCATGTCAGATGTTCTCTCACAGATGGGCCATCTGTTAACATTTTAGCATGCGTTAGTGGCTCATCTAGCTGGTTGTATCAGCCTGTAGATGACAAATATTCTTCTCAGGTTCTAGCATGGCGTTACTGCCATCCTAGGTGGTGATAATAGGATAAAGTTGGTCTTTTTCTTTGTCTTTATGCCTATTTATTAAAATAAGTTGGGAAACAAAAACCCTGAACCTATTTTAAGTTATACTCACAAACTATAAAATATTAATAATATTGCTAAATTTGTTATTCATTAATTCAAAAAAATATATTAAGTGCTTTTCAGGCAGAGTTAGGTGGCAAGGATAGAGCATGGGGAAAAAATAAAATACTTAAAACCAAACAGACAATTCCTTTCCTCTGCCCCACCCCAATGTCTTCCCTAATTTGGTTTTATAAAATATTTTATTTCTTTCCTTTATATACATGAAATATATGGCAGTATATATACATAAAGCTCTGATTTTGAATGTATAAATGTTGGAAGGAAGTAAGCTTGCTTAAATGTAAAAGAAAAATAAATAAATGACAGATCATAGTAAAACATCTGTGAGCAGAACTTTTTAAAAAGTAAACTGTGTTAACCAGTCTGATGAAAATATTTCAAATTGTATATGAAAATGCCACACTGTACCCCATGGTTATATTAATGTACACAGCTATCATTTAATTTAAAAAAAAATAAACTGCATATTACAGGATCATTGAGCCACCTAGTAAATAAAATGAACTAATTTTAGCACATTTTGTAACAGAAAAATAATCAGAAACATCCATCTATTAGAAAATAAACTATGATAGCTCAATACAATAAAAAATTACATAGCAGAGAAGATAAATAAATCCAATGTCTACATATAAATATGAAGAACCTTACAAATTTAGTGTGGGAAAAACTACCAAAAATGTATATGCTACAATGCATTCTTTAAACAAGTTCTTTAAACTATCTATACACAGGGTGCCAAAAAAAAAAAAAAATACACATTTTGGGTGGCACCTGTGGCTCAAAAGGGTAGGGCGCCAGCCCCATATGCCAGAGGT